AATTTATTTTATTAAATGTAATTCAATTAATTTAATATTGACTATAGGCCTATTTGAATATATATATATATATATATATATATATATAAAAATAATAATAATTTTTATATATATATATATATATATATATATATAAAAATAATAATAATTTTTCATTAAATTTGAACTTTTCTTGAAAATGGTATACAAGTTTTTCAAAACCATCATGAATACCAAGAGTACATGTCTAAGAACCTGGCACACTTATTTGTTATTGACTCTAGGCAAAGTCAGGTGGTCATAGAGCAAAAAAGAAATCTATGTTAAGCATTCATAAGCCATTCTTACATAGATTGAATTCCATGCAAAAAACAAAAATAGCATAAAAAGTTTAAATGATTGATTTCTTAGTGTAACCGCTACTCTACCCGCTCTGAGCAGGACTCCGGCATGGGAGGCGTGTGCGCAAACAAGGACGCTAAAGACCGCAGCCCCTACACTAGTCGCTAGCTCTCCTCTTGAGACCAAGGGAGTGAGGTTTACACACACAGCTCTTACTGACCTACGTCCGTTACATTAGCCAGAACCGCTAGATGGATTTGTAAAGTAAATACCAAAGTAAATGAAGCTATCCTTATGTAAACTGTTGTATTCAAAATTTAATTTAATTTAATGCACTGGATTCACAAATGTTTTACATAGATATTTGTTCTGCTCATGTTTCATTTGAGGCTTGCAGTGTTCAAAAGAAAACATATGCATTTTGACAAACACATATAACCTTATATGACTGCCTTCATAATAACATTTTCAAAACAAGCCATAAAAAAAAGTGTTGACTTCAGAAGGTTGAGACAATCTTTCTGTGGTTTGTCAAACTATGTTTGCTATGACTGGACTTCAGCAACAGGGCACAACCCTTTGATATTTAACATACATGCGATTCCAGAGCTCTCTAAAAATAGGAGGAGGAAGATGACGGCTCTATAGCGGAGGGCAAATGAGCATTCTGCCCTCTGACCTCGTCCCGCTCTGAGACACAAGACAGAGGAAATATTTCTGGAGTGCCATTTCAAATCCTATAGCATACAGGGCCTCATTGATGAAATAACACCCACACACACACACACACACACACACACACACAAAAACCTAACAGGACGGTTCATCAGAATTTAAAAAGCAAATGGACAAAACCCTGGTGCAGATCTCAGTTCAAGGTTTTTAAGCAGTCATGCAGCAACAATCAATTCTGCTGGAGCGAAGCGTGGGATTCTGTCCAGATATGCAGCCGCAGCCACTACCAGATATGATCAGGCAACGCTCTATCAGTGCAACAACTTCCTCCAAATGCACACTCTGTCGATAAACTGCAAATTCATCCTCCTCGCTATTCTAATTTAACTGGGTTCTTATGATTAATGGGATCTTGAGTCTTGGAATTCAAATTCTGATAAGAGGATTAAACTCCTGCATGAGAGATAGAAAAACAGAATATGAATGCAATTTTCTCCTTGTTCTTCTAAATGTTTCAACAACATTTTTGGTCAGAGGTGACCAACTGTGTTTATTACCAAGTAACTTATGTCGATTACTGATTGTGATCAACTTCAATTTTAAAAGCATCTGCAATGCAATGGGTTCACACAACATCTCTGACATTATCAGCTCTCTTCAGGCACAGTTCATGAGATCTTCTACGCACGAGATAAAGAGAGTTGAGGCAAGTTAAGTGACTCAAAATCTCTCCCCTGGGCAATGAACATTCAGCCATTCAACTTCGATTAAAAAAAACATCACCAGCTGCATTACAATATTATTTTGAACATCGCTGATCAAGATGCCGAGGAGTGCCTCAAGGCTATGTACTGGGGCAAAACTCATTTAGCCTTGGACGTGGTTTAGGAGCTCATGAATACCTCCAGGCTATGGACTATGGGGGTCATTCCTGTTAAGCAATACCTGGCAACTCTGAAATTTACAATTAAATAAAAATTATTGTGTTGTAATTTAAGGCAGCATTTATTTAAAAAGGGTATACAAGAGTTTAGAAACATGTTCTGGTCAAGATTGGATGCTTCAACTTTATGAATTACAACTTGCTTATTTTCAACAGGGTTCTATAAATTATATATATATTGTTAATTATATTATAAAGTATAATAAAAATGTATCATAAAGTATAAATGAATTACCAAATATCAAATATATTTTGCAAATATATTATGTTTAGCTTGAAATATTTTGATGTTTTCATGTTACAAGTTGCATTATGGACATGTCAAAAATGACAACATCCACTTAATTTAAAGTTTAATTATTTAAAAGTCACACAATGTTCATTTCATAGTGATAGTGATAGTGTTATAGAATAAAAATGCGATTTCCATATTTAAACATTATAATTTATCCATTATATTAAGACATGAAAAAGTACTGCACAATAGGAATCACCCAACATTTATCGAGGGGAACCTCAAGGCTTTGTCCTGGGGCACTACACAATTAGCTTGGAACATAATTTTAGACATCATTATAGATACAAAACACATGCCACTTCATATTGTCAGAGCTAACATTTGCGCATCTAACGTCAGAACCGATGGTACGCACGAAACTCGATTCATAAGTGGTGACATCAGTTCACTTACCTTCGTCGTGCATTCTCTGCAGGCAAAAAGTCAGGTTTCTCCTCCAGCTTGGCATGGCAAATAACTAAGAGTAATGCGTTATGCGGAGAGAAGCAGAAACGGACGCTGGTTTGTAACGATGATGATGGTTATAGGGAATAGTGTCGGTGATCAGGTGTATCGTGGACAGATCCTGTGGTGTTCATGCAGTGGTCCATGAGCGGGCATCAGCTGTCACTCCTGAGACCGGAGCGCAAATGACTCACGGAGTGTCACCGCCTCTCCAAAGTGTGTGAACGCGTGGACCGCCGGCACACTCTCAGATCCACGCAATATGCCACAGCGAACGGGTTAACCCTTACCTTCTGACGGGCTCTGAGGAGCAGCCACGGATGCTGCCATTCACTACGCTATGATTAACATAGTCATATGGATTATATTTAAAAGATTATAATACAAAATATTGTATTATGGTACTTTTAGCAGAAATATAAAAGATTTTAAACATTACTTTTCTTACTTTATGAAAACATTTTCAACTTTTTCTTAAATAATAAAACTATATTTTCCAATAAGAAAATTGCATGTGTAGGCTATAGCCTATATTCCCTGCTGCAATGTAGTAAAAGTGAGGATTTTTAAATTGGTTTCATCTTAAAGCCAGTACAACAAATACTACAATTAAATTATACAAACAATTCACTATGTTTCCACTATATTTAATGCACTATTTTTTTTATGTAATTTATTAAATAATTAAATATTGAATTTAATAATAAAAATTTGATAAAAATGGAATTGTTTTTTAAAAAGTTCATTTTAATTATTACAAATTAATTCAAATAATGATATATGTGAATTGGAAGTAAAAAAAAAGTTATATGTCACAAATTATATGATCAATAACTTATGACAACATAGATTTTTACATTGCTTTAACTCGTTAAGTTAAGTGATTTTCAACTTTTTAGTTATACAAGATTTAACTCATTTTTAAGTCAGTTTAATGTAATTTAAGTTGAAATGACTTAAACATCCAAAGTTGATAGTAAATTTAAGGTGGCAACTTTTTTTTTCTTTTTCTTTTTTTTATACAGTGTACAGGGTTAAAACTTAAATAATATCAGTCTGCAAGTTTTGACTAGGTCACTGGAAAATACAAAAAGAATGTAAAAGAAAAATGAGAACTGTGTATTGAAAAATGATGGTGAAACATACTGAAGATGAGTGATTTTGGCTTTCAGTTTGTAATACGAGTAAGGAACATGTCAGAACTGCAAACCACAAGCGCTAAGCTGATGTGTAACCCAGTTGTGAAAATACGCATTCCTCTAAAAAATATCAACACATTATTCTAAGTGACACTTCTCTTGTTAGAGGCTGTCTAGTTAGAGGCTGGCACACAAACGAAGGTTTTTCACCATCCCAGATGTAAACTCATAACTGGAGGCCGAAGGAGGGTTGGCAGCTCCGCGTTGATCTCCTGAACCCTTGGGCAACTCCACCAAAATCTGTAACTGAGGGATGATTTCATCTGACAGTAATGGAAACAACTGCCATGGTACAGTCACGCTGGATGTTTGGACTGCATGTTTGCTTGACAGATTATGCAGGTGATGAACAGTTTTACTCATGAATTAGTTGTTTAATAGTGCTCCAGGTATTGCATTTTGAAATATGGTTCGAAGTCAACATGAAATGCTGTTAACAACCAATTTAATTCCAACACTCATATGGCAATTCAGAACTATTTTATGTTTTGGCAAATTGATGGCTAATTCATACGAATAAAATACGTAAAAACTTTCGGAAAAATGCCAAAGAGCACCAAGTTCATTAAAATGATTGCCGTGTGAGATATTTTATATGGTATTAATAACAAATTGTTATATATATATATACACATACTATATGTATATGTGCATGTGTGTGTGTGTATATATATATATATATATGTGTGTGTGTGTATATATATATATATATATATATACACACACACACACACAATGAATATATTGTAAATAATTATATTATACAATGTAATATAATACTAATAAACAGTTAGTTATAGTTTAGTGTAGAAAACTTTATTCTTCAATGTTCGTCCAGGTCCTGAAACACACTAATGTCCAATGTGTCCAATATATTTGAATCAGCTTTCATTTATCATAATTTTTTTCTTCTCAAAATAATTGACATGTTAAGAATCTTTACAAACAATACAAATCAGCTCAAACATCTGGTCTGTAAATTAACCAATTGAAATGATCGAAAAATCAGGGTCGAGTTGAAAAAAAATGTTTCGATTTTGGTTCTGCCGCCTGGGAGTGAGATGCACTTCTAACGTTGGAGGAAAGTCTTTGAGGGCAGAAGGGTGTCGCCCCGGTCTGACTGGAGGCGAGAGAGAGGAGATGGGCTTCACTGCTCGTTCTGTTGGCTGTCTGTGATGGAGGTCACGGCTCCCTGGCCTTTGTTGACGTCACTGATACAGGCCCACTGTCCGTCCACTGACTCCTTCCACAGGGTCACCTATGAGCAAAAGTCAATGGGAAACAATGTGAATGACGTCATTTCTTTAGTGCTTGAATGAGCCCTTTAAAAACGCTGTTAGGTAAAAGGAAGCATCACGTCTTCCAGTTCCAGTGTCAGTGAGGCAATCTAAGGGTGTGTTCACACTTGGCATGTTTGGTTGGATTAAAATGAACTCCGGTGCGATTACTCTGTTAGAAGCATCAGAACCGCGTCTCCTCGCAGCAGATCTGTGTGTGTGTGTGTGTGTGTGACGGAGGGATTCCTGCCGCTGTTTTGACTCCTTTACACATTTTATAAGCTCTTCACGAGTTCTCAGCTGGTCAAAATACCATTATTTGCAGGCTACGCACATACAGCGAGTGCATTTAGCCCAGCACACAGCAGTGTTTTGGATGTTCGGCAAGTTCAGACGCAAAATATAGGACTAAAGGTGTCAGATTGGCATTTTTATCACCGAAACTAAAGATACCGAACCTAAAGGAATAGTGATACGTTCACAACCTGATTGGTCGGCTTTTATTACGTATATTTTGTGCTGAACACCCAAATTAATGCTGTGTGATGGGCTAAATGCACTCATTAAATGCTAAATATTGTATGTGCGTAGATACATATGATGGTATTCTGACCAGCTGAGAACTCGTGAAGAGCTTATAAAATGTGTAAAGGAGTCAAAACAGCGTCAGGAATCCCCCCGTCACACACACATACACACACAAATCTGCTGTGCCTGATGCCTGTACCAAACTGTGATCGGCAGCATCATGACTATGATGAGAAAAAACAGGTATTCTTGATCATCCTGTCCTTTTTAGGGTCGTACCTTATGACATCATGTCCTGTTTTTGTTTTCGTTTAGATGTCTTTGGTGCGGCTCGAATGAAATATGAACACAACATTGAGCAGAGTTTGTTTGGAAGTGGACCGAGACCCATCTTTACAGGGGTCTCTCGGTCCTCTTGTTTGGTGGCACCGGGGTTCGGATTGCAGCGTTCACACTTATTCAAATGAACCGCACTAAAACAGAGCAATCGCACCAGGGTTCATTTTAATCAGACCAAACAGGCCAAGTGCGAACAATGTATCATTTTCTTTTTTTGGTCCGGAACAAAAGAGCCAAGAGAACCCGAACAACAAATGTGAACACACCCCAAAGCTCATCTACTTAGTAAAAAAAAAGATTTTTGTAGTTTTAAATAAAACAAAGGTTATTTGAGTACGTTTTACAAGAAAATACTTTTTAAAATTCCATGTTGATACTTGCCATTTACACAATATTTTTCAGTGTAAGATGATTACGGCCAGCTAACAAGGAATCAAAAACACCTTCAAGAAACACTGCGTACACACCATTAGTTAAAAATAAATCTAACAACAAAACAAAAAAGTGCCTACTTTAGCTCCCTAGAAGCACCTAGAGAGGACTGTATTTAACCTGCGTGTATTTTCAAAGCCCTTTTGCGTTATTAAGCTGTCTGTTTTATAAATGCATCAGATAATGGCATGTTCGTCGGCGGGTAAATGGCTCGACCCGCCGCTTGCCGCAGTGAATAATTACAAGGCAGAGCATCTCACCGAAAGCGCAACAACCCGGAGTCTCTATTTAAATAAGCGGTGATGTCGGGGACGGATTCCCTCACGCCGGGCCGAGTGCTGGGTGATATAACCTCAGTCATTAACTCCTGAACCTGAGAGTTCACTGTGAAACGAGTAGTGATGCTGGGTAAATCGCTGCCCACATGAGAAGCAACGGAAGCATCTTTCCTCCGTAATCCCATGGGACGAGAGCCAAAGAGTGTCAACATTAGTTTCATGGTGAAAAGTAAATGAATCACAATGTCCAAGCACAGTCACGGCCTGTCCTTTAGTTGGTGACCGGTTGAGTCATGTTTGAGTTTGCCGCACACTAAATATATACAGCCTTAATATCACAATGATTTAAGTGTGCTTTTTATTTGTCATTAGACTAGTTTGATGATCCATCCTTGTAAATGAGGGAGTTAAAACCGTCTATTACCGCCTGCTATTTAAACTTCAATAGCAAAAAAGGTGTAGTTTAAACTGTCCATTTTAATGAACTGATTCAAAACTTCATGTATTAAAAAGCAAAAAATAGTATGCAAGTAAAATATATTTGGGTAAACACTGCTCATTATAATAATATTGGTGGATAAAATTAAAATTATAAAATATTTTATAAATAAATATTCAAAAGCTTTTTTAAACTACACTATTGTTTTAGTTCCTACTTTAACCATTTTTATTTAATTTGCTACAATAAATGATAAAACAAAAGTCATTTTTAGTAGTTTCGGAGATGTACATTACGGTTCAAACGATGGGGGTTAGTATAAAATGTATACTTTTATTCAACATGTTAGGCATTAAATTAATCAAAAGTGACAGTAAATAAGAGGGTGAATGAATGATGACAGTAAATAAGAGGGTGAATGAATGATGACATTAAATTCAAATTCTAGGGTCATATTTGACAGGTACGTACTTTGTTGTCCCCTCCTGACACAGCCAGGATGTTTCCTGTGATGGACCAGCTCACGTGCCACACCACGTCATTGAACTTGTGGAGAAGTTTGGCCGTCCAGGTGTTACCGGCTGGGTCGTCACACGTCCAGATAAACACACGACCATCCTATGGAATAATATAATATGAAATAACATAATATAATAGATTTATGCATTTTGCAAACACCATTATACAAACCATTTTAACAAAAGCATTGCCAAAGAAATCAAACCACTTTGGCGTTGCTACTGCTATGTTCTATTGTTTGAGCGACAGGAATAAAATAAAAATGTATTCAATTTACTTAAATTGTTTTTGTATGTTTTTACCACAATTATTATTCACATTGATACTGGAAGAGTCCCACAGTAGAATATTAAGAGTAAAGCACTTGGCTGTGATTACCTGTGAGCAGCTGGCGATTGTGCTGGTGGGTAGACCAATGGAAGGAGCCCAACCAACATCTCTCACCCAATCACTGTGTGCCTCCAGCTTCTGGTCCTCTTTCCACTGGCCATCCTCTTCTCTGGGAAGAAAGTATGAATGTGAGTACATAATTTGACAAATAAAGTTATTGCCTCCTGAAAGAAAGTCTGTTGTGTAGACCAATCACCGCAGACTGGGCCATCTGACCAATCAGAGCAGAGTAGACCAATCACAACAGACTGGGCCAACTGACCAATCAGAGCAGAGTAGACCAATCACCGCAGACTGGGCCATCTGACCAATCAGAGCAGAGTAAACCAATCACAACAGACTGGGCCAACTGACCAATCAGAGCAGAGTAGACCAATCACCGCAGACTGGGCCATCTGACCAATCAGAGTAGACCAATCACCGCAGACTGGGCCATCTGACCAATCAGAGCAGAGTAGACCAATCACAACAGACTGGGCCATCTGACCAATCAGAGCAGAGGAGACCAATCACAACAGACTGGGCCATCTGACCAATCAGAGCAGAGGAGACCAATCACAACAGACTGGGCCATCTGACCAATCAGAGCAGAGTAGGCCAATCACAACAGACTGGGCCATCTGACCAATCAGAGCAGAGCAGACCAATCACAAACGACTGGGACATCTGACCAATCAGAGCAGAGTAGACCAATCACAACAGACTGGGCCATCTGACCAATCAGAGTAGACCAATCACCGCAGACTGGGCCATCTGACCAATCAGAGCAGAGTAGACCAATCACAACAGACTGGGCCACGTGACCAATCAGAGTAGACCAATCACCGCAGACTGGGCCATCTGACCAATCAGAGCAGAGTAGACCAATCACCGCAGACTGGGCCATCTGACCAATCAGAGCAGAGTAGACCAATCACAACAGACTGGGCCATCTGACCAATCAGAGCAGAGTAGACCAATCACCGCAGACTGGGCCATCTGACCAATCAGAGTAGACCAATCACAACAGACTGGGCCATCTGACCAATCAGAGCAGAGTAGACCAATCACAACAGACTGGGCCATCTGACCAATCAGAGCAGAGGAGACCAATCACAACAGACTGGGCCATCTGACCAATCAGAGCAGAGTAGACCAATCACAACAGACTGAGCCATCTGACCAATCAGAGCAGAGTAGACCAATCACAACAGACTGGGCCATCTGACCAATCAGAGCAGAGTAGACCAATCACCGCAGACTGGGTCATTTGACCAATCAGAGCAGAGAAAGAGTAGATTTTCTTGTTTACTCGCCAGGCAGATATACTATTTAATATATATATATATACACTCACCGGCCACTTTATTAGGTACACCTGTCCAACTGCTCGTTAACACTTAATTTCTAAGCAGCCAATCACATGGCGGCAACTCAGTGCATTTAGGCATGTAGACATGGTCAAGACAATCTCCTGCAGTTCAAACCGAGCATCAGTATGGGGAAGAAAGGTGATTTGAGTGACTTTGAACGTGGCATGATTGTTGGTGCCAGAAGGGCTGGTCTGAGTATTTCAGAAACTGCTAATCTACTGGGATTTTCACGCACAACCATCTCTAGGGTTTACAGAGAATGGTCCGAAAAAGAAAAAACATCCAGTGAGCGGCAGTTCTGTGGGCGGAAATGCCTTGTTGATGCCAGAGGTCAGAGGAGAATGGCCAGACTGGTTCGAGCTGATAGAAGGGCAACAGTGACTGAAATAACCACTCGTTACAACCGAGGTATGCAGCAAAGCATTTGTGAAGCCACAACACGCACAACCTTGAGGCGGATGGGCTACAACAGCAGAAGACTCCACCGGGTACCACTCATCTCCACTACAAATAGGAAAAAGAGGCTACAATTTGCAAGAGCTCACCAAAATTGAACAGTTGAAGACTGGAAAAATGTTGCCTGGTCTGATGAGTCTCGATTTCTATTGAGACATTCAGATGTTAGAGTCAGAATTTGGCGTAAACAGAATGAGAACATGGAACCATCATGCCTTGTTACCACTGTGCAGGCTGGTGGTGGTGGTGTAATGGTGTGGGGGATGTTTTCCTGGCACACTTTAGGCCCCTTAGTGCCAATTGGGCATCGTTTAAATGCCACGGCCTACCTGAGCATTGTTTCTGACCATGTCCATCCCTTTATGGCCACCATGTACCCATCCTCTGATGGCTACTTCCACCATGTCACAAAGCTCTAATCATTTCAAATTGGTTTCTTGAACATGACAATGAGTTCACTGTACTAAAATGGCCTCCACAGTCACCAGATCTCAACCCAATAGAGCATCTTTGGGATGTGGTGGAACGGGAGATTCGCATCATGGATGTGCAGCCGACAAATCTGCGGCAACTGTGTGATGCCATCATGTCAATATGGACCAAACTCCCTGAGGAATGCTTCCAGCACCTTGTTGAATCTATGCCACGAAGAATTGAGGCAGTTCTGAAGGCAAAAGGGGGTCCAACCCGTTACTAGCATGGGGTACCTAATAAAGTGGCCGGTGAGTGTATATATATATATATATATGATTCCACCTAATCAGCTTATCTTTGTAAAATGGCATAGCTTTTTAAATATCTGAACGTACACTCTTAACATCAGTCCGTCAAGCTTTATATTGTGATATTATTATAATCAAGCACTTAATGATAGAACTTTAGTAATTAGAACTAAAACTTGTTCTTAAAAGCTGAATTATTCCGAATGAACTCCGCTATTTTGACAGGAAAATGCAAAAAAATGTGCAGGGTAAAAAAAAAAGTAGGGTTTAAAAGTAGCACGTTGATATTGCGTGGTTATGCAAGACTCTCGCTCTCTCTCTTTGCGTGTGTGTGTGTGTGAGAACGGATACAGGTACCCTGCACATCCATTGAGCTGAACTGAAATAGGACAGAATCACTTGAAGGAGAGCGAACTCATGCGCTTAGTCAGAGTGAAAATATATCTATGCTAAACTAATGATAATGATAATTATCTAATGGCCAGCTAATGATAGACATTATTTTAGTCGCCCAAAGTGAAGATTTAGTCACATGTGCGAGTGATTTATTTGCATTGTAGAGGGCTGAAATTATTTAAAATAGTATAATTAGGGCACATTACATATTATTGGCTTATTTGATAATGCTGTCAGAAACAGTAAGAATGAAGCACTATCAGCACAATGTATATATATATATATATAAAAATGTGGGTCTATTTATGACCAAGAGTAGTAGCTGACAGCAGGTGCTCGTCACTGTGCGCTCTAAAATAAGGAGTGCACTCACTTCCACAGCTTGACCAGATTGTCACAGCCTCCAGACACAAATCTCTTGATGTAGTTGGGCTTCTGTCCTGTTGGCTGCTCAATAAGACTCCCTGGGACAACAGCTGGGGCCCAACTCACAGCGTTACAGCCGATCTGCCACAAACACCAGAGAAACCATGTAAAAAAAAAACTCAAATAACAGGAAGTACAATACATTTCGCCAGTCTTGTATGACATACTCGACTGAAGCCTCTTTATTGCATGTCAATCAGCATTCAAATAATCAAATATTGGATTTATAATTTCCCAAAGAGCCTATACAGATCAGGCACCTATATAAAAATTCTCATTAATAATGTTTTTGCATCTTTTCTGCAATATTTCTTTCTTGCTGTAGTTAAAAAAAAAAATTGTAAAAGGCTATGACAAAGTAATAATACAGTAATAAAATTGTACTCAAATGTAGATTTTTTGCACATTTACTAATTAATGAGAAGTTCAGTTGCACTTTATGTCAGTGTCAATGTTACAGTGTAATTATACATTAAAGTACTGAGAAATAATTAGGGTTAGTTGCATGTAATTACGCATAATTTATAATTACTACTACAGTGACAACATGAAACGTGTAACAAGGACACTAAAATAAAGTGTTACTGAAGTGCTTAATACAAATATGGTTTTAGTTAAAGGGATAATTCACTTTGAAATTATTTTTTGGTATGTTTTAGCTTACCTCAAGGGCATCCAAGATGTAGGTGTCTTTGTTTCCACAGTATTTTCAATTTTGATATTTTTAGGTCAAACCGTTCTTGTCTGTCAGTCATATAATGCAGGTCTATGGTCACCACCTCAAAGAGCATGCACAGAGAAGTCCAAATTAAACATGATTTAATGACTCGTAAATGTAAGTACACATTGATGGCCTAAGACACGAAACGAGCGGTTTGTGTGAGAAAACGAACAGTATTTATATCGTTTTTACCTCTTGTAATGCACAGACCGAAGCGCCCGCGCCCTCAGATCACTTGGACGTGGCTGTGTTTACAAGAGGTAAAAACGATATAAATACTGTTCGTTTTCTCACACAAACCGCTCGTTTCGTGTCTTAGGCCATCAATGTGTACTTACATTTACGAGTCATTAAATCATGTTTAATTTGGACTTCTCTGTGCATGCTCTTTGAGGTGGTGACCATAGACCTGCATTATATGACTGACAGACAAGAACGGTTTGACCTAAAAATATCAAAATTGAAACTACTGCGGAAACAAAGACACCTACAACTTGGATGCCCTTGAGGTAAGCTAAAACATATCAAAAATTAATTTCAAAGTGAACTATCCCTTTAAGTTATGATTTTATAAACTTGCGCTCCACCAGGTCAAAACTGACCAGGGAATGCAAAGGTGTTGCCATTTATTGGAATGCATGAAGGCTAATCATACTTAAATAAAATAATTTAAATTAAATTATTAGAGCCCTGTATATGTATATTCTAAAATCTCATATAAAAGGCTAAACTCACTGTATGTGCATTGTTGATCTTCTTAATATCCCAGTGTCCATCTCCAGAACAGGTCAACACTGAAATCGCCCCATCTGAGCTGCCACAGGCCAGAAGCAACCCGAAGTCATACGGTCCCCAGCACACAGAATTCACTGCAGGAGAAGCGAATGTGTGATTGTCCACAGCGGGATGCATTTCTGTCAAAGTGTTTGATATGAGAATCAAAAAGCGTGAAGTTACCGGACGAGTCGTGGCCTGTGTATTCATACATCTTATCCCAGGTGCCGTTCTCCTCCTTCCAGATGATCACCTTCCTGTCGTAGGAGCAGGACGCCAGGATGTTGCCGTACATGGGGTGAGCCCAGGCCACCTGCCACACGGGACCCTCGTGGCTGCCAAAACAGAATTGGAATTAGAGTTAAAATCGACTCCACGGAAACCCTAGTTAAAGTTGCGCGCTTCACACACCCCCTCAGATCAGCCACGAGGATCTGCCCTCCGTTTTTGACATCAAAGATCTTCACAGAGCGATCAGAGGAGCAGGTGGCCAGTCTGGTGCCGTAATAATCCATCTGAGCGTCATGCTGAACACACAACCACAAATCACAGTCATATAATGTTGAAAAAGATGCAGTAAAAGTAAAGATGGAGGCAAGATGGATGGAGATACTCACGATCATATCCTCATGTGAGGTGTCCACCGTGTTAATGACCGAAACCTGAAACACACAAGACCACAGATGTGCGGAGATGTCAGTTAAACTGATATGTGTCGAAAACATATTAATGATGTTTAACTGTAATGTGCATCAGATTAAACTAAGAGACATCACGAGTGAATACCCCTAAAAAATACAGATTCAAATCATAGAATTACCAAAGTACAGTGTCTTTGAAATACACTGAAAGAGAGAATTTAAAAGAGAACAAATTATTATCATTATTTACATAAAATTATATTATATATATATATATATATATATATATATATATATATATATTCTCATTATAGTTATTAACTGGATACAATATTTTAATCAATTTACAGCAGTAAATATAACAAAAAAGTAGTTGACAGCTCATTAATCCAACATAGCTAAAACTGACGGAGAATAATAATAGTGGAAAACTGAAAACGGTCCAAAACATCGCAGAAATAGCATGTTGTTAACGTACATAATCAAAGATAATTGTTTGATATATTATCAGGGCTGTTTTTATAAAGAGTTCAACATCGAAACACATCTAAATAGCTCTTTAAACAGCTTTAATCTCGTAATCAGACATGTAAAATGCATTTCATTTTCCATCCGGTCATTCATTATGAAACTATAGAATCCGAGCACTTAAATATCTGAGAATATCAATAATGTAAAACTCACCATATTTGCTTATATCCCTCCAACAAACTCCTTCAACTAAAAAAACGCCTCTAGTTGCTCTTCTGCTCTTCAGAAATGAAAACACTGATAGTATTTCCGACGTGGCAGAGACTGACCGCTCAGCGGACTGTGTTTCCACTGTTAAAGTCTCCGGGTGGAACAGAAAAAAGGTTCCGCTCGATACTTCCGTCCCCGTCCTGCAGTTCACAGTGACTGCAGCAGAAGGCGGCAAAGCGAGTTAAATAATAATATATCGCCCGAATCTCTATTTATAACTGTCCGAGAGTGTCATATGTCCCAGTCTGTCCAGTGTCCAGCCAGGCGCTATGATCTTCATCAAGCTCAACTTTCTGTAGTAATTTTTACATCGTCATTCAGTGAAGTACGTTACTTTAAAAAGTCAAGATGTCGAATGTCACGTTTTACATTTCCAATCTGTTGGAAAAAATGACATCAACTGACAAAGATTTTCGGTAAGACAGTGTGTGTTATAGACGCATGTTTCAGACTCACGACTAATGTTTACAAAAATAGGCCAATGACAAAGCAACGGCCTGCAGTTTATATTTGTGGCTTAAATAATCATTTTCAGATTTGTATTAACCCTTTGAAAAACAGTCAAGTGGAATAAACATTGGCTACTTTTGTAAACGGTTGTGGACATAACTTAGGCTACTGAAAACGAACTTATAACTTAACTTATGTTGACTATTCAATACACTATTTTATTTGTATTTTTGGTTAATAAATGGAAATGTAAACCCAGTCAAACTTAATTAAATTAATCAACATTAATGATTTTAGTCACGATTCCTACAGAATTCAGTTTCTAATTCGCTGTTCCCAAATTATGGAAGCCCATTTCCGGCATATAAGGGAAAAAAATCATGCTTTGGTAAATCTTAATTATAAAAAATATAACAAGTCGTGATAATTAAAAAGTCGAACGACATACTGCGTCATAATTATGTATGCTAAATCGAAATTATGACATATACTAAATCAAATCCATCGTCATAATTTTGACTAAAATATTTTATGAAATATAGTTGAAGTTTTATTACACAAAACGTCGAAATTTTGACAGATTTCGTCATAACTACGAGTGTCATGAGATTAAATAGTTGAAATTATGACAAAAACGAAAGGAAGACTTTCTGCCATAATTTGACTTTTTAATGGCATAACTATACAAATGACTTTGTATGTCATATTTAAACTTTTTTTTAAGAATTTCAGCTTTTTAATGTCATAACTATCATTTCGACTTTGCATGTCATATTTAAACTTTTTATGTCATAATTTGTATTTTTTAATGTCATAACTATAATTATGACTGTCATTTAAACTTTTTCATGTCATAACTATCATTTCAACTTTTTAATGTCATAACTATCAATTCGACTGTACGTCATACTTCAACTTTTTGTCATAATTTTTTACTTTTTAGTGTCATAACTATCATCTTGACTTTGTATGTCAAATGTCAAACTTTATGTCATAAGTTCGACTTTTATCTAACAATCATGACTTAGTGTGTCATCATTTCAACTTTTCATCACATAATATGATTTACAAAAGCATGTTTTTTTCTTTATGTGGTAGAAATGGGTTTCCATACCAAACAGTTTAGCTAACTAAGTACTACTTTCTCGCTAGTATTTTCCTTGGTAATGCCGTGTGTTTTGGACATGTGCCATGCTATTTGAGTAATGTGATGGTGAAGAACATCAAAACTGATGAGCACTTTGCTGAAACAAATGAAAGGTTTATGGCAGCCAATGACCTGATGATGGAGCTCCAGAAGGACTCGATCAAACTGGACGAGGAGAGCGAGAGGAAAGTCGTGACCATGCTCCTCAAACTCCTGGAGGACAAAAACGGAGAAGTGCAGAATCTGGCCGTCAAATGGTATCTTCTCACTCAGATTTTCTTCCGAACGTGAACGTGATGAAATAATCACGATTATTTCTGTTTCGTGTAGTCTTGGTCCTCTAGTGGGAAAAGTGAAGGAGTGTCAGGTGGAGATGATGGTGGACACTCTCTGTTCCAACATGGTGTCCAACAAAGAGCAGCTGAGGGACATTTCCAGCATGGGCCTGAAGACCGTCATCGCTGAACTGCCATCTTCATCTGCTGGTATCATGCCGATATTATAGAGATTTCCGACTTTTTAGGATCTCTTTGGTTATAGTGGTTGTATTGTATTCAAGGTTTGAGCCTCACAGTCAACGTCTGTAGGAAGATCACGTCCCAGCTGATTGGAGCATTGGGAATGCAAGACGACGTGTCCATTCAGCTGGAGGCTTTGGATATTCTCTCCGACATGTTGGGCAGGTTGGTCAAAATGCCTTATACTTGCATGAAAAGTGTTTATGAGCATTCCCCCATCAGCCTAATGCATTATTTGACAGGTTGAGCACTGCTCTGGTGAGCTTCCATCAGTCGATTCTGACCGGTCTCCTCGCCCAGCTCATGAGTCCTCGTATGGCTGTAAGGAAGCGCTCTATTATCGCACTGGGTCACCTGGTGCCAAGCTGTAGCCCTGCTCTGTTCACTCAGCTCACCGAACACCTCATGGGCGAGCTGTCCCGCGGGCCGCCCTCCGCCAGCGTGCGCACGTACATCCAGTGCTTGGCCACGGTCAGCAGACGAGGAGGACACAGAATTGGTGAGAGCTGCTTTGAGGGAATGTAGTATTAACGCTGTGACCAGCAGAGGGAGCTGAAGAGACGAGCAAAGATCAAAATGAATCTAGTTAAAACATTGGCTGTGTTTCGAAATTGCACGATTCTCTATTCCCCACATTACTCCACTAATATACTCCACTTGAAGGAGTGGATGAAAACAAATGAGCGAATTCGGACACTGAGTGCCGGAAAGGCTGCCGCTTTTGCATAGTTTGTGCTTGCTGTTTAATGATCATTTGAAACTTAGCACACTGGCAGCTCCAGTAGTAGGCTAAAGGCTCGTACACACCGGGACGAATATCGGCGCGCGTTATTCGTCAGTGTTTTTCAACGCGTTTTTTGTGTTCACACCCAAGCGATTTTCGCTGACGATGAGCCAAGTGAACATGCAAATTCATTCCCTGACATTAAATGGCGCTTAATGTAAAACAGAAATAGTCCTATTTTGTAGTCGCTGTCGCGTTTGTTATATAGTTCTTTATGTTCCGACACCAACAAGACCAGCAGCTCTACATTCATCTTGCCTTGCATCTTCCTCGTCTTATTTCTTCCCGGCAGTGTAGACCATAGATATCCATAATAAAGGCCATTGGCCAGCAGCGCGGACGAGACATCTAGCCTTTATTATGGATATCTATGGTGTGTAGACGCTACTTGGCGCATCTTCTTCGCCGTTACGTTTGTGTGCTCGGCAAGACCGTTTTGTGTTTGAGCGCCCCCAAGTTGTGTTTTACTGTAACTTCAGAAGCTCCAGACACGTGAGCAAAAGCGCCAATCTCATTGGTCGGATAGTTTTTGACGCGAGGCGTAAACGAACCCGAGGCGTTTTTTTAAAAATGACGCTTTTACGCGTGGCGTTTTTCGCGTCGGTGTGCACACTCACATTGGCGCCCTTTGTTTAGTCACGAGGCGTTAAACGTCGGCGAATAATGCGCGCTAAATTCGTTCCGGTGTGAACAGGCCTTAAGATTAAAGAACTCTGTCATGGAAACTAGCTTGTATAAACCTTAATTAAGCAATTTAATAATCAATTAAAGGAATTATACCTGTATTACGCTGTACCCACATCGGACCAGTAAAATGGATGGATGGATGATTCAGCTGCGGCGCCATCTTCTGGTCAGACGTGGGAATCAATTCACAGTGCATTATGGGTATTCTCTAGCTGTAGTAGAGCATACATCAGTTGTACTCGTTATTGCGGTGCATTATGGGATTGAATGAATGCACTGCACTTGATAACGTCCACTATGGTTTCGGACACCACTAGAAATGGCCGTCCCTTGAAATAGTGCCTTATTTAAGGGTATATGGAGCGATTTCGGACACAACCATACTAAAATGTCTTTTGGAGATTTTGAATATGACATGGTTGCTGTATTAATATTGAGTCTTTTATGATATGAAGGTGAACACCTGGAGAAGATTGTACCCATGGTGGTGAAGTTTTGTAACGTGGAAGATGATGAGCTACGCGAGTTCTGCTTTCAAGCTTTCGAAGCTTTTGTTAGCAGGTAAAACTGCTTCTACATTGTTTGGTTTATAACTTTAAAATTCAGCTTTTTCATCATGACACAATGCTTTCTCTCTCTGTGTGAACTTGTATGTCAGACAGATATTAAGTCAGAAAATCTTTCTTCTTTTTTTTTTTTGTCAGATGTCCAAAGGAAATGTCCCCTCACATCCCAACAATTATCAAGTTGAGTTTGAAGTACATAACCTACGACCCCAATTACAACTACGATGCTGACGATGACCAGGATGACAGTATGGACATTGAGGAAAGAGAGGATGAAGATCAGGGTGATTTATTTGACCATCATTGTGCAATTTTAGGAGTTATAATTCCATCTTTAAGAATACACCAATATGATATTTTTGGAAAGAATTAAAAATCATTACTAATGGTACATACAAAGTTTCTCTAGCTATGTATGAGATGAGACAGATGGCGGATGTAGTGCTTCCCACTCTGAGTGTGTTTTTCACAGTCAACACACTTGTAATCTATAGAGTCTGATGATGAGTACAGCGATGATGAGGACATGAGCTGGAAGGTGCGGCGCTCCTCTGTGAAATGTCTGGAGGCGATAATCAGCAGCCGCAGGGATCTGCTGGTGGAGCTCTATGGATCTGTAGGCCCAACGTTGGTGTCCCGCTTCAAAGAACGTGAGGAGAATGTTAAGACTGACATTTTCTCAGCCTTTGTGGCTTTGCTCAGACAGACCAGACACCCTCACGGTCCCAGTTTGGACACGGGAGCCAAAGAGGAGCCAGCGGTCTCTCTCTTGAAGAAACAGGTATGGTTGTGTGCAGGTTATAGCCTGGTTAAAACCAGACCATTCTCAGTTGTAACTGAGTTATGGTCTGGCAAAGCGTCATAGACAAATCATTTCCAGAGGGGCGTCACCAACGGACGTCGCGGATAGACCTAAACCCAATCAGAGCG